CTTGGGTTTGCTCCCTCTACTGCCGACCCGTCGCTGTTTCTGCGCACCGACACTTCTTTGCCGCCGTTCTACATCCTCGTGTACGTCGACGACTTGGTCTTTGCCACAGCTGACACTGCTGGACTCGCCCACGTGAAGTCCGAGCTGCAGAAGAGACACACGTGCACAGACCTGGGTGAACTGCGCAGCTACCTTGGCTTGCAGATCACCCGGAACAGAGCACGCCGCACCATTACCCTGACTCAGTCACACATGGTGCAGCAGGTCCTTCAGCGCTTCGGCTTCACGTACTCCTCGCCTCAGGCCACTCCTCTGCCTACTCGCCACTCGCTCTCAGCTCTGCCTTCGGATGAGTCCGTAGAGTCGAGTGGCCCGTACCCAGAGCTTGTTGGCTGCCTCATGTACCTGATGACCTGCACACGACCTGACCTTGCATACCCTCTTAGCATTCTCGCACGCTATGTTGCTCCTGGGAGACACAGACCGGAGCACCTGGCTGCAGCAAAGAGGGTGTTGCGTTACTTGTGCAGTACGTCGGGCATGGGGCTTGTGCTTGGAGAGCAGAGTCCAGTGGTCCTCACTGGGCACGCAGACGCTTCTTGGGCTGACGACCAGGCTACGCAGCGGTCGTCACAGGGTTACACCTTCAGCCTTGGTTCCGGCTCTGTTTCGTGGCGGGCTACCCGCTCGTCTTCTGTTCTCGGCTCCAGTTGTGAGGCTGAGATCTACGCCGGGGCCATGGCTGCACAGGAGCTTCGCTGGCTCACCTACCTGCTGACTGACCTCGGAGAGCCACCTCGTTCTCCTCCAGTGCTGTACGTAGACAACAAGGCCATGCTGGCCTTGTGTTGAGAGCAGAGACTGGAGCACAGAACGAAGCACATTGCTCTCCGCTACTTCCTTGCTCGTGAGCTACAGCAGCGTGGTCAGCTGCGGCTTGCGTACGTGGCCTCTTAGGCCAACACTGCTGATATCTTCACCAAGGCACTTGCGCCTTGTGATCATCAGCGCTTCTGTACTCAGCTGGGTCTTGTGCCTACCTTGACTCAATTGCTCACCCCTTGACCTTGTTTGTACTGTTGCATATATATATATACCTGCTCTTGCTTGTCTAGCCTTATATATATATGTAATCCTGCATGTGAACTGGCCTTGTGGCCTTGAACTTGTGCTCGGAATGTGTGGTGACTTTGTGATCCACCCTGAGCTTGTTTTGCTGTGCTTGACTGGTCTTGTGACCCCTTGTTCTCCCCCACTTTGCCTATGGGGGTGTGTCAGATTTATATGACATAGCTACTGTAGGCTATAGTGCGGTAGCACATATGGGGTACAGTTTTCTAGGGTTTACATTTGTACCCAACTTTCCCTTAGTCCATCCATTCTCGTTTCGATTCGGACATCCCCCGCAGCGAACTTTTACTCTCTCCACCTTCTCCCGTATGGCCAGCGGCGTGCCGTCAACTAAGCGTGCGTCGATCTCAGGTAAGCAGCGACTAAGTGTCAGTTGTAATTTTCGCGCAGTTGCGGTATTAACTAAACTGTGGCTTGCTCCTCCGTCAATAAAAATCTTCACTGCTGCTCCCTGTATTTTCCCGTGGATCAGTACTGGGCAATCCGTCGTTGTACCCTCCTTATTCATCCGAGCCCGATCGATGGCGTGAATCGGTACTGTGACTCGGTGAGGGTCGGTGCGGTTGGGCGAGCAGGCAGTCTCGTCAGTAGTTGGCCCAACTTCTACTGACTGCTGGCGTTTCCCTGCCTCTGGGACTCCCTCCCCTGCTCTGCTCCGCGGCGCCTTAGCTCCTCTGGGCATTCGCTCTTGCGATGGCCCGGCCTGTTGCAAGCAAAGCAACGCCCCTTAAACGGTGCGGCAGCTGCATTCGTTGCAACAGCGTTTACAGTGGCGTGCTCGATCGGTCCCCAAGGACGATTGTCCGTAGTAGGACCCCGGTCTTGGTCGGCGTAGAATGTCGATTTTCTCGGCGAGCGCGCTGCTCGTAAAGTGCGAGAAAACCGCTCGTGTAATCTTGAACCGACCCGAGCTGTCGCCAAGTGCGCAATCTCTGACGCGCCGAAATAGAAGCCGCGATCGGCTCGAAGCGCGCCCGAAGCCCTGCGCACCACGCATCCCACGTGCTGTATTGGGCGGTCTCGCAGAATGAACTCCAGGTGACAGCTGGACCCGTGGGCCCTTCCTCTTGCGACGGTGGCTCGTAGGCGCGTGGCGACGTCACGATGACTCGCCACCAGTCCATGGCGGGGCCCCTTAACAGCGAAACGGCATACCGAATCTTCGTTGCGTCCGACTCGACGTAATTCGCGTCGAAGAAGACGTTCATCGTGAAAACCCACGATTGAACCGTCGGACCTCCACGCTGGCTCGGGTCGAAACAGGGCGGGCGTTGCGGCTTGAGTGGCATTGGTGCCATGATGGCCTGTTCGCCACTTGTCGCCGCGAACTTCACGTGCCGACGGGCTTCGCGAGGCTCCCGCGGGCTTGGCGCGCCCCTGTTTCCTCCCATGCCAGGCATTGGTTGGGCGGCGCTATCACTGGCTGCGCCCGAGCGCTGTCCCACGCTGTCGTGTTGTGTTGGTGTCCCGGACGAGATGACGATTGGCTCGTCCGATTGTGCAGGTGCATTTGTTGGTGCGTGTGGTGCTGCTAGAGTGTTCACCGTTGATTGCTGACGCGCGGAGTCACGTTCCGCTGTGAGCATTGCAATTTCGAGCGCCGAATCTTCGAGTTGGCGCACCAGACGGTCGAGCTGCTCCTGCGTCAATGTGGCGAGCGTGAATTCGGCCATGGCGGGGGTGTCGGGCGAGCTCAGCGAGAGCCTCAGTCGTGGCCGTGCGTGCTTACGAGAGACCACTACGAGCGGCGGTGCTGTGTCGCTGAGAGACGTCTACCCCCCCCAAAAAATTGAGATAGTGAGGAAGCGAAGGTGTGGGTGCGGTCCGAGAAGAAGTCGTAGGCTCTGAATACCAAGTGTTACGAGTGCAATTGAGTGAACGAACGAGAATTGCACTATCGAAGCAAGAGTACAATGAGCGAAGGCATGAGCGAAGAATATATAGCGAAACTACAGTGGTAACGGTAATGGACTGTGGTTGTCGCGCGACGGGCCTGGGACTGAGGTTGGGAAAAGTGTCGAAGCGGAGGCCCGGAGCGCGGGTTACCCGCCGAGCCGTGAGGTCGGGGTGCGACGTGCGAAGGTGGCGGGCGGATTGTCGATGCGAGGATTGCGAGTGGTAACGGTGCTGACTGTGGTGCTACAGTGATGTACGCGTTGAGCAGGGACGCGAAGTAAGGAAAAAGAGATTTTCCTTGCATTCTGACTAAAGAATCCTGAGTTGCGTCAGGACTCACACTAGTGGATTGTGATGTGAAGCGTCTACATGTGCTGCATTGGTGGTTTCTGATGTCATGCTGTTACAATACACTACACCGCCACTGTACTAGGGATTCGCAAAGTCGCAAGTACAAGCCAGAACCGCCAACTTGCTTTAGAATGAGGTGGCATGGCATGATTGGTTTACCTGCACCAACGACCAGCTTCCGCCAAACGCCTCGATCTCACCTTCTGGCCTCACACAGTTTGTCCGGAGCAGCCAGAACGGGAGGAGACATTCCCTCTTTCCCTTGTCGCGACTCGCGATCTCAACCAGAAAACATCCGTTCTTGGGTGTTCGCTTTCCGCTTTCCGCGTGACGAGAGCGCGTCCACTTGACGACGATCAGGAAACCCGCGCAGAAGTCCAAATTGTCCAGGCTAGGGGGTAGGTGAGGGGGGAAGGATAGGGGGAACAAGGTGGGAATGGATAACGGTAGGCGCCTGCAGGCATTGATGGCATGGGACGGGGGGCACCGCAGAAATGGACATTTCAGCAGCATCATCCCATCATTCGGGCCACACATCCGATGGTGGCGTGGCGCGGTGATGCAAGCGTGATTGAACGAGCTGGTAATTTCCCAGCTCAGCAGCAATTCATCACAGCAATCGACATTTGCATTATTACCGGGCGGGGCACTGTGGCTTGAGGCTGTGTGGCTCATGCGGGATCACAAAAGGGACTTTGGTCGCTTTTATTTCCCGCTATACACTGTATAAACGCAAAGATTCATGTGTAGAGGACTGAAATACACTGTAAAAGGGACTATTTTTGTTTGTGTGTGCGAGTTTGAGTCTTACTTCGGCCCGCTACACTCATGTTCTCTGCAACTCGCAAATTTCGATTTCCGAACTGAGGCTGAATGTGACCCATCTTAGCATCTTGGCAGGATTCACTTCTCTTCACTTCTCCCCTCTTGTTCCATCCCATCCATCCCATCTCCCATTCCATCCATCTCATTTCGGCATCTCATTCCGTATTCCAACCTTTGTTATCTTTCTCAGCATCCTCCTTACTGTACCGTCAAACTCTCAACTCTGCTCAAACCGCCATAAGCCTCAACAGACACAATGCGATGCTTGTCCGCCTGCCTGCTCATTCCAGGCTAAGCGTTTCGCACTGCGAGGTGACCCTCCTTGCGAATGCAGCTCTGCCATGTCTTATCTTAGCCACGTCGACGCCGCGCTCCGCTACTCCGCGCAGAATCCATCTCGAAGCGCAAGCACGAAGTAGCTTCGCTCACGGTGTCCTTAATCCCTACACGAATCACTCAGTCTCCTCCTCTAAGATTCGCTAAGCTTGCGTGCATTTTCCAAATCCAAGCGCCTCCCAAACCAAAGTGCATGCAGCAACAACATACTCTTTATTGTCATTGCCATCATTGTTCTAAAAACTAGCTCAATAACAGTCGAAGCATCGAAATCATTCATCGTGTTTATCGTCGCCATACCCTCCCTATCCATTCCATTATTTAGTTCCGTCTCGAGGCCTTCGCCGTAACGCAGCCTGATTTCGCCTCAATCCCCTCCAACCGCCGTCTACACTCTCCGCTGCGATATAGTCACCTCATCGTCACTGCCACCTCGTCCCTCGTTGCAATCACCTGCCATCATGGCGGCGCCTACAGACCTCAAGATTCTGGTCGCCGAAGACAACACAGTAAGCGCGACAACCAAGTTTCTCCCTCCCGTTCCATCCCCGTTTCATCCCTATTCCATCCTTATTCGCATCTCCCTTTTGTCCCCCTTTTCCTCCCCCCCGCCGTTTCATCCGCCTACTCCCCGTCTTCTGTTCACCCGGGACGATGCGAGCTCAATTGCTCGAGACGCAACGCCGCACTCCCCTGGTCCAATCGCTGCGTCTGTCCTCTCCCACTGGGACGCATCTCTTTCGCCACGCGCTCGCTCTCTCGCGCTCCTTTTCTCTCTCGCGCTCACTTTCTCTCTCGCGCTCTCTTTCTCTCTCACGCTCTCTTTCTCTCCCGCGCTCCCTTACTATCTCGCTCTCGTCTATGCACGTTCCGCCAGGCTCTGGTTTCGTCGCCTCGTGTCACCCGCTCATTCTTATACTTCGCCCGCGCGGTTCACAGCTACCCGCTTCCTCCCCTGCTCCGTCTCCCCCGTTACCCCTCCCGGGCGCTGGTTGCTCAACGTTTGCGCGCGCTCGCCCCACGTATCTCATCCCCGTCTCCCCGCGCATCTCGCCCCCTCACCAGCTCTTGTTACGCTCTTTCCCCTTTTGTGAAACAACGGTTTCCTCCCTCTTTCCTCCCGTGTAAATGCGACTTTTAAGGCGCCTCAAATCTGCGGTTTCTCTGCCCATTCATTCCCTCGTATATTCCACGGATCCCGTTACCCGGACTGAGCATCTCCGGATGCTGCTCCGCTGCTCCAGGAGAGTCTGGTGCTGCCGCTGTGCATGCACGCTCAAGCGCGTGAAGCTCTCCTCTTGTATCCCTTTTGAGAATTCTTAAAACTGAGATTTCGGATGTTTCCGTGCAGTCTCCCGCGACTGCGCTCTCCCCTTTCCCCCTCCAGGTGAACGTGTTGGTGCTCATGTCCAGGCTCAAGCGCATGGGACTTAAAGCCATAATCCTCCTGTACCCCTCCCTCGCTTGCCTCTATCTTCCCCTCCCCCCTCCCCCCTCCCCCTCCCCCCTCCCTTCCCTACTCCTCCAGGTGAACGTGATGGTGCTCATGTCCATGCTCAAGCGCATGGGACTTACCTCCAGGCCTCCCGTACCCCTCCCCCTCACTTGCCTCTCTATCTTCCCCTCCCGTCCCCCCTGTCTCCGTCCCCTTCCAGGTGAATGTGATGGTGCTCATGTCCATGCTCAAGCGCATGGGACTTAAAGCCACGGTCGCCAAGAACGGCGTCGAGGCCGTGGAGGCGGTGCAGAAGGTGAAATTCGATATTATCCTCTCCGATATATGCATGCCGCTCATGGACGGGCTCACAGCCACGCAGCTGATTCGGCAGTACGAGCGCACGGGGAAATTCCCCGCGGAAGAAATCGCCAAGGCGAAAGCGTCCGGGGCCCCTGCGGGGGACGAGAAAGCGGGGCTGGCGGAGTGGACTGGCGGGGATGCGGGGGAAGGGGGGGGAGAGGGGGATTTCCGCCCGCGCACGCCGGTGGTGGCTGTGAGCGCGAATGCGCTACAGGCGGATCAGGATCGGTGCAAAGCGGCGGGGATGGATGCTTTTATGTCAAAACCGGTGAATTTCCAAAAGCTAAAGGATACGATGGGGCAGTTTGTGGACCTTAGTAATATCGCTGCCCCTGCCGCCCCTGTCAGACCCCCTCCCAAACCGGTTGTGGAATCAAGTAGTGAAGAAGAAGAGGAGGAGGAGGAGGAGGAAGAAGAGGAGGAGGAAGAGAAGGGGAAAGGGGGGAGAAAGGGGGCGAAAGAGGAGGAGGAGGAAGGGGAGGAGGAGGATGAGGAGGAGGGGAAGGGTGTGAGAGGAGGTGTGGGGAAGGCGGGACAGCAGAACGGCAGAACGGCGGGTGGGAGAGTAGTGGCGGATGCAAAGAAAGAGGAGAGTGGAGAAGAGAGTGGGGGGGAGGAGGGAGAGGAGGAGGAGGAGGGAGAGGATGAGGGGAAAGCTGGGGCGGGGGCGGAACGTAAACCTGAGACGGCAGGGAGGGGTAAGGTCGGCGCAGCAGCAATGGCGAACGGACGGCTGGCAGGGCGCGGAGAGGAGGACGAAGAGGAGGAGGAAGGGGACGAGGAGGGGGAGGATGAGAGGGAGGAGGAGCGGGGAGGGTATAGGGGAGAGGGGAGGGGAAGGGATAGGGGAGAGGAAGGGTCCGAAGGCAGTTTGAGTGACGAGAGGGAAGAAGGGAACCGATCGGGACGGAGAGATGAGCGAGAGGAGGAGGAGGAGGAGTTTGAAGAAGAAGACGAGGAAGAGGAAGAGGCAGAACGAGAGCCGTCAAGGCAACCTGCTGCTGCTCTCTCCTCCTCCTCTGCTTCTTCTGGATCTTCAGTTGCCAACGCTATTGCTGCTGCCAAGGCTGCCGCTGCTGCCAGAGCCGCTGCAGTGGCTAAGGCAGAAGCGGCGGCGGCAGCAGCAGCCGAAAAAGACGAGGCTATGGCGAGAAGCAAGGCTGCTGCGGAGCAGTTTGCTAGTAGCAGCAGCACTGGCAGCAGAGCGAGCTCAGGGCAGGCAGCAGGCGGAGGAGGAGGTGGAGGGGGAGGAGGGAGCGTGGCGAGTGGGAGAAGCAGCAGCATGAGCAGCACGGGGAGGACTGGGGGCGGGCGCGCCACAGATCTCGCCGAGTTGCTATCCACTGCCACGTCAGCCGGCCCCGCTGCCGCTTCTCCTGACGCGTCACCTGCTTTGGCAGCTCCCGTGAAACGATCGTCCAGTAAGAACTCCCTGACTTCTTCCAGAGCCAATGGGGACGCGACAGGTGGCAGTAGGGTGTCGTCGCCTGCGCTCCCTCCTGGGGTGGTGGACGTGCGAGAGTTGATGAGAACAGAGGAGAGGGAGAGAGCAGCAGCAGCCGTGGCGTTGGAGAAAGAGCATAGCAGCAGCAGCAGCAGCAGCAGCAAGCCGAGTCGTATGTTGCGATCGAAATCGAGGGACGGGCTGGCGGTTGCAGCAGAGACGGTTGAGACAGAGAGCGGGGATAGCGAGTCGGAACCAGGTCCCATGTCCCGCTCCCGCTCACAGCCCCAACGGCGCTCGTTTAATCTTCCCTCAGCTGCATCAGTCTCCTCCTCTGGAACAGCAGCGGATTCACCCTCCGCTTCCCCCTCACGCCGCCACCACAACCGGCACCACCACCACCACCACCATCACGACCACCTATCCTCCTCTTCTCGCTCGCCCTCCCCTCACGGCTCCCGGCATCACCACCAGAAAGAGCAGCACCAGCAGCCGCAGCAGCACCGGCACCGGCTATCAGTGACTGGCGACGACGACGCGCTATCCGCCGTGACTCGCAGCCACAGCAGCAACAGCAGCGGCAGCAGCAGACGCCGCTCGTCTCTGTCCCGACGCAGCAGCATGCAGACTGGGACTATAGCTACAGACCCGAACGCTCTCGCTGCTGCAGCCATGGCAGCGGCAGCAGCAGCGGCAGTGGCGCACGAACCGTCCTCCTCTCGGTCCTCCGGGCTGCATGCGGAGCAGTTCCTGTCGCCGGCGCGGCTGATCAGCGAGGAGAAGGAGAGCAGCAGCAGCGGGCGCAGCGGCAGCGGCAGCAGGAGCAGATCTGGAAGGCGCAACAGCACAGAGGCAACGGTCGACCCGGCTTTGGCTGCGGCTGCTGCGGCGGCGGCTGCTGCGGCGGCTGCGGCTGTGGCTGCGAATCCTGGAAAGAGCAGCAGCAGCAGCAGGAGGAAGAGTACGAGCAGCTGTGGGCGATCGGGGCATGAGGGGTCTGACAGGGGGTTGTATGGGGACCTAGTGGGGAATTCTATCGGAGGCGATTTGTCGCGGTCACGCAGAAAAGGGGTGGTGGACGATGGTGGTATTTATGGGAGGGATAGTTTGGGGGGTGATGGGTATAATCTAGGCCCGTGGGTACAAGAGGCGCATCACGCTCAGTTGCAGCAGCAGCAGCAACAGCAGCAGCAACAGCTGCAACAGCAGCAGCAGTTGCAGCAGCAGCAACAGCTACTGATGCAGCAGCAGCAGCAGCTGCAGCAGCTTCTACTGCAGCAGCAACTGCAGCAGGAGCAACAGCAACTGTTCGAACAACAGCAGCAGCAGCAGCACCACCACCACCACCGGCGAAGCAGCCTATTCCCCGACCTAGCACAGGAAGAGAAGCGGCTTCAGTCAGGAGGAGGCAGCGGAAACCTACTCTCCATGGGCATAGGAAGCAAATCCATGGGCGCTGTGTCGCGCCGCAGCACCCTCGCATCCGTCTCTGCAGCCACCAGCTCTATCCCCCAGCACTTCCCCTCGCCAGATGACCCATACTGCACCGGCAACGGCCGGGAAGTCTCCCCGCTGGGCGGCAGGCACATGCTGCAGCAGTCTCCGCAGGGGCTGGGGTTGTCGCAGTCTGCGCATTTGAGCCGGCCGGTGGCTCGTGTGCTAGGGCATGAGCATGGCGGGGGTGTGAGTCCGGATAAGAGCGGCATGTGGGCGCAGAGAGAGGCGCTGGTGGCGGCTCAGATGGAGCTGCAGCAGCGAGCCCAGCAGCGGAGGTCACGGGCTGCTGCCCCTTCGATCATCTTCCCGGATCTAGACCCGTTCACGTCCCACTGCAAGAACCCGTACCAGTAGAGAGGGACGCAAGGCGCTTCGGAAACCGCTGATATTTTTTCTGGAGTTTGAACCATTCACGTTCCACTGCAAGAATTCGTGGAGAGGAGGAGGGGTGGGGTTGGGGGGAAGAGGAGGGTGGTGTGGGGGAGGGCAGGATCATTTTGGAAAATCTAGGGGAGTTTTGGGGAGGGGAGGGAGGGTATGACGACAACTGCTTGAATTAACGCCCTTCAACAACTCCCTCTGCCTTTGCTTCTGTCCTCCTCCCCTTGACCCCGCCATGCTTCCTTTCTCTCATTCATCATCCCACCATGCTTTCCTCCTCGTCAAGTCTCTGTTTGAGACCCTGGCTACTACCAAGCCCCTTTCGCACCCGCGAGCGCTCTAAGTGTAATGCTGCTGCTTGTATGCACCCCCTTCATCTCCCTGTCAACCGTTCTTTTATTTGTTGACACCACCTTTTTACGTTATCATATAATCAAGAGATAAATACACTGCGAATCTATAATAAAGTGTAGTGCTTATGTGAGAACTGAGTACGTGTAGTGATATAGTATGCAGGAAAGATGGACAATATAACCCCTTATGGTTTGATCGTATACCCGTTGTTTGATTGTCAAACATAAATACAGAAAAGACAGCTTCTATCGGGAATCGATCGCCAAGTTTACCACACCGTCGCCATCCAGTCGCACACCTTCGCAAGGCGGTTCTTTCGCTGCTCAAGCTACGTGAATTGCAGCGCTCGCGCCTATGCGACTTTTAAGCCTACATATTACGGTAGCTGTACATGTAACGCTGGTATACCGCGCTATGAGGTCCTCTGTCATCTCGCTAAGCTTCTCTTCGCGTTCACGTTAGAAGACGATCTGACATTAGCATACGCGCCGTCGCAGGCCGACAGGCGGGGAGGAGGATGAGCGGAACAGAGCATGCCGTGTCGCAGGTGGTTTGTCAGGTGCCGGCAGGGCGGGGCGTGTTTATGGTGGAGTATCCGGGATTCGTGCGCGACGATCGGCGCGCTTTGCGGACGATGGGCGGCGAAGAGACCATCGCAAAGGTGAGTGAGTGAGTGAGTGAGTGAGCGAGTGATTGAGTGAGTGAGTGAGTGAGTGAGTGAGTGAGCGAGCGAGTGAGTGAGTGAGTGAGTGAGTGAGCGACAAAACATGCTAACTCCACGACTCTCGCCCTTATCCCCTCCAATTCCTGCTCAGTCCTTCCTCCCCTAATCCCGAATCTGGTAAACTTTCCCTTCCCACCACTCTGTCCCGCCTCTTAAACACCCCCCCCCCCCCACCCCTTACCCCCGCCCCCCCGGTCCCCTGGTCCCCCGCTCCCCCCGTCCCACCGCTTTCCCCCTCCCCCGCTCCCTCTCTCCCCCAGGAGCGGTCGCGGGGCCGGAGGTTCCTGGAGGTGCGGTTCGGGGGGGAAGGGGGGAGCGCGCACGGGGCTTATGGGGATGCCAGTGACACTTGCGGGGTGCTGCTGCGGATTGCGCGGCGCAGGGCGGGGACGAGAAAGGGGGAGAAAGGCGGGGAGGAGGGTGAGAAGAGGGGGAAGAAGCGGGGGAGAGAGGAGGAGGTGGGAGATGGGGGGAAGGATCAGGGGAGCAGGAGGAGCGGGGAGGGGAAGGAAGATGAGGCTGGTGAAGGGAAGGAGGAGGGTATGCGCAGTGAGGGCATGAAGGAGGGAGTGGACAAAGAGGAGAAGGGAGAAGAGGAAGAGGAGGCGGAGCAGGAGATTGAGATATCGGCGGTGGCACGCATTGAAGAGACGTACCGGTTCGAATGTAAGCACCTTCTTTTAACCTCCTCACTCGGATTTGTTTTTATCATTGATAAGGGTGTCTCTCCCGCCCTCCTCTCTCTTTTCTCCTCTGCCTCCCGTCCTCACTCCCCCCCTCCACCCACCTCTTCTTCTCCTCCCTTGTCCTCCCTCCCCCACTTCCTGATTTCACCTTCTCCTGATTTCCTCCCTCGCTTACCCCCCATTTCTTTCTTTACCCTTTCTGTCCATATTTCTTTTTCTCCGTACCCACTCCCCCATCCCCCTGCCCCCCTTTTCCCCTTCTCCCCTGCTCCTCTTTTTCCACTTCAACCTTCCAGCCCTTTCCCCCCATTTCCCCTTTCCCCCCCTTCCCACCCCCCCATTTCCCCGTCCCCCCAGCCCTGGCGGACTTCCAGTGGGTACCATCGTTGCACGCCCCGCGAGTTGATTTTTGAGCCGACTCAAAAGTTAACTCGTTTCAGTGGGAGCCATCATTGCACGCCCCGCGCTTTCCCACTCACCCTCCCTCTTCCCCCTCTTCCCCTCCCGTTCCCCCCATTCACCCCCCCCCTTTCCCCCCATTCCCCCGTCCCCCCAGCCCTGGCGGACTTCCAGTGGGTGCCATCGCTGCATGCCCCGCACACACCGGCACGGCACCATGCCGCCTCCTCCTCCCACTCCCACTCCCACTTCCACTCCTCGCCTGCTCCCACCGGTGCGTTCCCCCATGCGTCTGTTCTTGTCTGGTATGTCTTTGTCAGTCGATTCAATAGCCGCCTTTTGAGGCACCTCAAAACTACACTCCTCGCCTGCTCCCATCGGTGCGTTCCCTCATGTGTGTGGTCTGGTCTGGTATGACCGTATGACGTTGGAGTCGACTCAAAAGCCGCCTCCGCTCCTCTTTCGCTCCCACAGGTGCGTTGCCTCATGTGTCTTGTCTAGCATGCCATGCTCTTCACCACTCCCATACCAGCACAGCACCACCCTTGTACAGAAATCTAGTTTTGAGGTGCCTCAAAACCAGGTGCGTTTTCCTCATGCGTCTCGTGTTGTCCAGCATGCCATGTTATTCACCACTCCCATACCAGCACCACCCTTGTACCAAAATTGTCGTACCCTTCCCTGCCCTTCGCCATTCGACCTCTGCATCTCTGCACCTGTCCCTCTCTGCATCTCTGCACCCGTCCCTCTCTGCATCTCTGCACCCGTCCCTCTCTGCATCCACTCTACAGCAGCGTCACCCTTCTCCCCATTGGCACCTCTGCTCTTCACGCGCAAGGACAACCCACCCGACAAGCTGTACTGCCTCTTGCCCCCCTTCCTCTCCTCTCCTCTCCTCTCCTCTCCTCTCCTCTCCTCTCCTCTCCTCTCCTCGCCTCTCCTCTCCTGTCCTCTCCATCTCTCCTCCCTCTCTTCTCTCCTCTCCTCTCATTTCCTGTCCTGTTCTTTCTTGCCTTCATATCGCCCCCTTGATATCAACGCCACCACTGCTTCTTTTCCCACCTCTTCTCCTTTAGCTTACCTGCCTGCCTGGTTGCCCGCCATTGTACCGAGTACCCCTGCCCCTCCCTCACCCCCCGACCGACCCTCCCCCAGCACGCCGTCCCCCCCCTTTCCGTCTACGGACATTACACCATCACAGCTTCTCACCTCTTACTCATCATCGCTCACCTCTCTCACCTCTTGTGCATCATCACCCAGTCTCCGGGCGTTTGACATAAACCGGGATGCGGCCAAGCCGGGACTCTACCCGCCTGCTCCCGCCCCAGCTGCTGCCGCTGCTTCCGCCCCTTCCATAGCCCTGCTTTTGCCGCTGCTGCGGTCCCCACAACGGTCCCCGCCGCTGCCTCTGCAGCTGCTTCTGCCCCTGCTGCTGCTGCTGCTGCTGCCCCTGCGGCTGATGGCAAGCCAGGCGCAGGGGGGAAGAGAGGGGGAGGGAGAGGGGGAAGGGAAGGGGCAGGGGCTGCTGGTGGTACTGCTGGTGCTGGTGGCGCTGCTGGTGCGAAGGAGGGCCAACAAGCAAATCTCATTCTCTTCTCTGGGCTTGACTGTGCCACCACTCAGGTACTACCCTCCCACCCACCCTCCCACCCACCCGCCCACCCACCTGCCCACCCACCCGCCCACCCACTCGCCCAGGTATCTCCTCTGCTCGCTTGCCGTTCTGTCCTCTCTTCTCCCCTCGTCCCGGCCCCCTCCTTGCCCCCTCCTTGCCCCCTCCTTGCCCCCTCCTTGCCCCCTCCTTGCCCCCTCCTTGCCCCCTCCTTGCCCCCTCCTTCCCCCCTCCTTGCCCCCTCCTTGCCCCCTCCTTGCCCCCTCCTTGCCCCCTCCTTGCCCCCTCCTTGCCCCCTCCTTGCCCCCTCCTTGCCCCCTCCTTGCCCCCTCCTTGCCCCCTCCTTGCCCCTCCTTGCGCTCCTCTCCCTCGCATCCCCTCCCCCCTCCCCCCCACTTGTCATGCCTATTCCCACCCATTGCAACTGCTGCCACTGCTGCAACCACACCACCTGGTCCTCCCTTTCCTCTCGCCCAACCCCTGTGCCTTACTCCACCCATCCATCCCTTTCCCCCACTTGTCCCTCTCCCGTTCCCCGCTCCCCTTCCTCCCCCTTTCCCCTCCCACTTTTCAAACACCAGGAGCTGCGGGGGTGGCCGAGGGAGAGGGAGGCGGTGCGGGAGAGCAGTGAGGAGGGTGCTTATGTGCACATGTTGCGCCCGCTGTTCCAGGAGCGCCCTGTGTGGTCGCGCAACTCTCTCAAACACCTCCTGCAGACCCGCCACCGGCTGCTGCTGCCGATTAATGATGGCAGCATGAAGAGGTGCGCAGGGGTGGAGAGCGGTGGGAGGGAAAGTGAATGAGAGAGCACTGGCCTGTGTGGTCGCGCAACTCTCTCAAACACCTCCTGCAGACCCGCCACCGGCTGCTGCTGCCGATTAATGATGGCAGCATGAAGAGGTGCGCAGGGGTGGAGAGCGGTGGGAGGGAAAGTGAATGAGAGAGCACTGGCCTGTGTGGTCGCGCAACTCTCTCAAACACCTCCTGCAGACCCGCCACCGGCTGCTGCTGCCGATTAATGATGGCAGCATGAAGAGGTGCGCAGGGGTGGAGAGCGGTGGGAGGGAAAGTGAATGAGAGAGCACTGGCCTGTGTGGTCGCGCAACTCTCTCAAACACCTCCTGCAGACCCGCCACCGGCTGCTGCTGCCGATTAATGATGGCAGCATGAAGAGGTGCGCAGGGGTGGAGAGCGGTGGGAGGGAAAGTGAATGAGAGAGCACTGGCCTGTGTGGTCGCGCAACTCTCTCAAACACCTCCTGCAGACCCGCCACCGGCTGCTGCTGCCGATTAATGATGGCAGCATGAAGAGGTGCGCAGGGGTGGAGAGCGGTGGGAGGGAAAGTGAATGAGAGAGCACTGGCCTGTGTGGTCGCGCAACTCTCTCAAACACCTCCTGCAGACCCGCCACCGGCTGCTGCTGCCGATTAATGATGGCAGCATGAAGAGGTGCGCAGGGGTGGAGAGCGGTGGGAGGGAAAGTGAATGAGAGAGCACTGGCCTGTGTGGTCGCGCAACTCTCTCAAACACCTCCTGCAGACCCGCCACCGGCTGCTGCTGCCGATTAATGATGGCAGCATGAAGAGGTGCGCAGGGGTGGAGAGCGGTGGGAGGGAAAGTGAATGAGAGAGCACTGGCCTGTGTGGTCGCGCAACTCTCTCAAACACCTCCTGCAGACCCGCCACCGGCTGCTGCTGCCGATTAATGATGGCAGCATGAAGAGGTGCGCAGGGGTGGAGAGCGGTGGGAGGGAAATTGAATGAGAGAGCACTGGCCTGTGTGGTCGCGCAACTCTCTCAAACACCTCCTGCAGACCCGCCACCGGCTGCTGCTGCCGATTAATGATGGCAGCATGAAGAGGTGCGCAGGGGTGGAGAGTGGTGGGAGGGAAAGTGAATGAGAGAGCACTGGCCTGTGTGGTCGCGCAACTCTCTCAAACACCTCCTGCAGACCCGCCACCGGCTGCTGCTGCCGATTAATGATGGCAGCATGAAGAGGTGCACAGGGGTGGAGAGCGGTGGGAGGGAAAGTGAATGAGAGAGCACTGGCCTGTGTGGTCGCGCAACTCTCTCAAACACCTCCTGCAGACCCGCCACCGGCTGCTGCTGCCGATTAATGATGGCAGCATGAAGAGGTGCGCAGGGGTGGAGAGCGGTGGGAGGGAAAGTGAATGAGAGAGCACTGGCCTGTGTGGTCGCGCAACTCTCTCAAACACCTCCTGCAGACCCGCCACCGGCTGCTGCTGCCGATTAATGATGGCAGCATGAAGAGGTGCGCAGGGGTGGAGAGCGGTGGGAGGGAAAGTGAATGAGAGAGCACTGGCCTGTGTGGTCGCGCAACTCTCTCAAACACCTCCTGCAGACCCGCCACCGGCTGCTGCTGCCGATTAATGATGGCAGCATGAAGAGGTGCGCAGGGGTGGAGAGCGGTGGGAGGGAAAGTGAATGAGAGAGCACTGGCCTGTGTGGTCGCGCAACTCTCTCAAACACCTCCTGCAGACCCGCCACCGGCTGCTGCTGCCGATTAATGATGGCAGCATGAAGAGGTGCGCAGGGGTGGAGAGCGGTGGGAGGGAAAGTGAATGAGAGAGCACTGGCCTGTGTGGTCGCGCAACTCTCTCAAACACCTCCTGCAGACCCGCCACCGGCTGCTGCTGCCGATTAATGATGGCAGCATGAAGAGGTGCGCAGGGGTGGAGAGCGGTGGGAGGGAAAGTGAATGAGAGAGCACTGGCCTGTGTGGTCGCGCAACTCTCTCAAACACCTCCTGCAGACCCGCCACCGGCTGCTGCTGCCGATTAATGATGGCAGCATGAAGAGGTGCACAGGGGTGGAGAGCGGTGGGAGGGAAAGTGAATGAGAGAGCACTGGCCTGTGTGGTCGCGCAACTCTCTCAAACACCTCCTGCAGACCCGCCACCGGCTGCTGCTGCCGATTAATGATGGCAGCATGAAGAGGTGCGCAGGGGTGGAGAGCGGTGGGAGGGAAAGTGAATGAGAGAGCACTGGCCTGTGTGGTCGCGCAACTCTCTCAAACACCTCCTGCAGACCCGCCACCGGCTGCTGCTGCCGATTAATGATGGCAGCATGAAGAGGTGCGCAGGGGTGGAGAGCGGTGGGAGGGAAAGTGAATGAGAGAGCACTGGCCTGTGTGGTCGCGCAACTCTCTCAAACACCTCCTGCAGACCCGCCACCGGCTGCTGCTGCCGATTAATGATGGCAGCATGAAGAGGTGCGCAGGGGTGGAGAGTGGTGGGAGGGAAAGTGAATGAGAGAGCACTGGCCTGTGTGGTCGCGCAACTCTCTCAAACACCTCCTGCAGACCCGCCACCGGCTGCTGCTGCCGATTAATGATGGCAGCATGAAGAGGTGCACAGGGGTGGAGAGCGGTGGGAGGGAAAGTGAATGAGAGAGCACTGGCCTGTGTGGTCGCGCAACTCTCTCAAACACCTCCTGCAGACCCGCCACCGGCTGCTGCTGCCGATTAATGATGGCAGCATGAAGAGGTGCGCAGGGGTGGAGAGCGGTGGGAGGGAAAGTGAATGAGAGAGCACTGGCCTGTGTGGTCGCGCAACTCTCTCAAACACCTCCTGCAGACCCGCCACCGGCTGCTGCTGCCGATTAATGATGGCAGCATGAAGAGGTGCGCAGGGGTGGAGAGCGGTGGGAGGGAAAGTGAATGAGAGAGCACTGGCCTGTGTGGTCGCGCAACTCTCTCAAACACCTCCTGCAGACCCGCCACCGGCTGCTGCTGCCGATTAATGATGGCAGCATGAAGAGGTGCGCAGGGGTGGAGAGCGGTGGGAGGGAAAGTGAATGAGAGAGCACTGGCCTGTGTGGTCGCGCAACTCTCTCAAACACCTCCTGCAGACCCGCCACCGGCTGCTGCTGCCGATTAATGATGGCAGCATGAAGAGGTGCGCAGGGGTGGAGAGCGGTGGGAGGGAAAGTGAATGAGAGAGCACTGGCCTGTGTGGTCGCGCAACTCTCTCAAACACCTCCTGCAGACCCGCCACCGGCTGCTGCTGCCGATTAATGATGGCAGCATGAAGAGGTGCGCAGGGGTGGAGAGCGGTGGGAGGGAAAGTGAATGAGAGAGCACTGGCCTGTGTGGTCGCGCAACTCTCTCAAACACCTCCTGCAGACCCGCCACCGGCTGCTGCTGCCGATTAATGATGGCAGCATGAAGAGGTGCACAGGGGTGGAGAGCGGTGGGAGGGAAAGTGAATGAGAGAGCACTGGCCTGTGTGGTCGCGCAACTCTCTCAAACACCTCCTGCAGACCCGCCACCGGCTGCTGCTGCCGATTAATGATGGCAGCATGAAGAGGTGCGCAGGGGTGGAGAGCGGTGGGAGGGAAAGTGAATGAGAGAGCACTGGCCTGTGTGGTCGCGCAACTCTCTCAAACACCTCCTGCAGACCCGCCACCGGCTGCTGCTGCCGATTAATGATGGCAGCATGAAGAGGTGCGCAGGGGTGGAGAGCGGTGGGAGGGAAAGTGAATGAGAGAGCACTGGCCTGTGTGGTCGCGCAACTCTCTCAAACACCTCCTGCAGACCCGCCACCGGCTGCTGCTGCCGATTAATGATGGCAGCATGAAGAGGTGCGCAGGGGTGGAGAGCGGTGGGAGGGAAAGTGAATGAGAGAGCACTGGCCTGTGTGGTCGCGCAACTCTCTCAAACACCTCCTGCAGACCCGCCACCGGCTGCTGCTGCCGATTAATGATGGCAGCATGAAGAGGTGCGCAGGGGTGGAGAGCGGTGGGAGGGAAATTGAATGAGAGAGTACTGGCCTGTGTGGTCGCGCAACTCTCTCAAACACCTCCTGCAGACCCGCCACCGGCTGCTGCTGCCGATTAATGATGGCAGCATGAAGAGGTGCGCAGGGGTGGAGAGTGGTGGGAGGGAAAGTGAATGAGAGAGCACTGGCCTGTGTGGTCGCGCAACTCTCTCAAACACCTCCTGCAGACCCGCCACCGGCTGCTGCTGCCGATTAATGATGGCAGCATGAAGAGGTGCACAGGGGTGGAGAGCGGTGGGAGGGAAAGTGAATGAGAGAGCACTGGCCTGTGTGGTCGCGCAACTCTCTCAAACACCTCCTGCAGACCCGCCACCGGCTGCTGCTGCCGATTAATGATGGCAGCATGAAGAGGTGCGCAGGGGTGGAGAGCGGTGGGAGGGAAAGTGAATGAGAGAGCACTGGCCTGTGTGGTCGCGCAACTCTCTCAAACACCTCCTGCAGACCCGCCACCGGCTGCTGCTGCCGATTAATGATGGCAGCATGAAGAGGTGCGCAGGGGTGGAGAGCGGTGGGAGGGAAAGTGAATGAGAGAGCACTGGCCTGTGTGGTCGCGCAACTCTCTCAAACACCTCCTGCAGACCCGCCACCGGCTGCTGCTGCCGATTAATGATGGCAGCATGAAGAGGTGCGCAGGGGTGGAGAGCGGTGGGAGGGAAAGTGAATGAGAGAGCACTGGCCTGTGTGGTCGCGCAACTCTCTCAAACACCTCCTGCAGACCCGCCACCGGCTGCTGCTGCCGATTAATGATGGCAGCATGAAGAGGTGCGCAGGGGTGGAGAGCGGTGGGAGGGAAAGTGAATGAGAGAGCACTGGCCTGTGTGGTCGCGCAACTCTCTCAAACACCTCCTGCAGACCCGCCACCGGCTGCTGCTGCCGATTAATGATGGCAGCATGAAGAGGTGCGCAGGGGTGGAGAGCGGTGGGAGGGAAAGTGAATGAGAGAGCACTGGCCTGTGTGGTCGCGCAACTCTCTCAAACACCTCCTGCAGACCCGCCACCGGCTGCTGCTGCCGATTAATGATGGCAGCATGAAGAGGTGCGCAGGGGTGGAGAGCGGTGGGAGGGAAAGTGAATGAGAGAGCACTGGCCTGTGTGGTCGCGCAACTCTCTCAAACACCTCCTGCAGACCCGCCACCGGCTGCTGCTGCCGATTAATGATGGCAGCATGAAGAGGTGCGCAGGGGTGGAGAGCGGTGGGAGGGAAAGTGAATGAGAGAGCACTGGCCTGTGTGGTCGCGCAACTCTCTCAAACACCTCCTGCAGACCCGCCACCGGCTGCTGCTGCCGATTAATGATGGCAGCATGAAGAGGTGCGCAGGGGTGGAGAGCGGTGGGAGGGAAAGTGAATGAGAGAGCACTGGCCTGTGTGGTCGCGCAACTCTCTCAAACACCTCCTGCAGACCCGCCACCGGCTGCTGCTGCCGATTAATGATGGCAGCATGAAGAGGTGCGCAGGGGTGGAGAGCGGTGGGAGGGAAATTGAATGAGAGAGCACTGGCCTGTGTGGTCGCGCAACTCTCTCAAACACCTCCTGCAGACCCGCCACCGGCTGCTGCTGCCGATTAATGATGGCAGCATGAAGAGGTGCGCAGGGGTGGAGAGCGGTGGGAGGGAAAGTGAATGAGAGAGCACTGGCCTGTGTGGTCGCGCAACTCTCTCAAACACCTCCTGCAGACCCGCCACCGGCTGCTGCTGCCGATTAATGATGGCAGCATGAAGAGGTGCGCAGGGGTGGAGAGCGGTGGGAGGGAAAGTGAATGAGAGAGCACTGGCCTGTGTGGTCGCGCAACTCTCTCAAACACCTCCTGCAGACCCGCCACCGGCTGCTGCTGCCGATTAATGATGGCAGCATGAAGAGGTGCGCAGGGGTGGAGAGCGGTGGGAGGGAAATTGAATGAGAGAGCACTGGCCTGTGTGGTGGCGCAACTCTCTCAAACACCTCCTGCAGACCCGCCACCGGCTGCTGCTGCCGATTAATGATGGCAGCATGAAGAGGTGCGCAGGGGTGGAGAGCGGTGGGAGGGAAAGTGAATGAGAGAGCACTGGCCTGTGTGGTCGCGCAACTCTCTCAAACACCTCCTGCAGACCCGCCACCGGCTGCTGCTGCCGATTAATGATGGCAGCATGAAGAGGTGCGCAGGGGTGGAGAGCGGTGGGAGGGAAAGTGAATGAGAGAGCACTGGCCTGTGTGGTCGCGCAACTCTCTCAAACACCTCCTGCAGACCCGCCACCGGCTGCTGCTGCCGATTAATGATGGCAGCATGAAGAGGTGCGCAGGGGTGGAGAGCGGTGGGAGGGAAATTGAATGAGAGAGCACTGGCCTGTGTGGTCGCGCAACTCTCTCAAACACCTCCTGCAGACCCGCCACCGGCTGCTGCTGCCGATTAATGATGGCAGCATGAAGAGGTGCGCAGGGGTGGAGAGCGGTGGGAGGGAAATTGAATGAGAGAGCACTGGCCTGTGTGGTCGCGCAACTCTCTCAAACACCTTCTGCAGACGAGGCACCGCCTGCTGCTGCCCATCAATGATGGCAGCATGAAGAGGTGCGCAGGGGTGGGGAGTGGTGGGGGGTGAGGTGGAGAAAGGTGGAGAGAGGTGGAGATGGGGTTTGAGAAGTGGGGAATGGGGAGGGGCGATGGCAAGGGGGGGTGGGGAAGGGGGATGAGGGGGAGTGAAGTGAAGAAAGGTTTGCTTGTGTGTCCAATCCAACCTTCCGGTTGTTCCTTTCCCCCCTTCCCAAGGCTCTGCTCTGCTGGGCTCTGTCTGTAGGCCTCCCGTTCTCCAAGCAGTTCCTTTTTACTTTACTTTTCTCCCCGTTTCACTTTACTGGAACAAGAACGTCCAATAGAAACTCCCCATTTCACGCTGTCCCTCCCGCCGTCCCTTCTTCCCCCCCATCTCCCTTCTCTCTCCCGTCTCCCCTCTCCCCTCTCCCCCCTCTCCCCTCTCCCCTCTCCCCCCTCTCCCCCTCTCCCCCCTCTCCCCTCTCCCCTCTCTCCTCTCTCCCCTCTCCCCCCCTCTCCCCTCTCCCCTCTCCCCCTTCTCTCCCCTCTCCCCTCTCTCCCCTCTCCCCCCTCTCCCCTCTCCCCCCTCTCCCCCCTCCCCCCTCTCCCCTCTCCCCTCTCCTCCCTCTCCCCTCCCCCCCCCCTCTCCCCTCCCCCCCCTCCCCTCTCCCGTCTCTCCCCTCTCCCCCCTCAGGGCGCTGCTGCGCTTTGCCTACTACTTCTGCAACGGTCCCTTCCGCATGCAGTGGATTCGCAACGGCTACGACCCACGCACCAACCCCGACAACAGGAAGTGCGCCCCGTCCCGTCCCCGCCCCCCTGCTGCTCTCCCCTCACTTCCCCACTGCATTCACCTTTGAGAATGCACTGGACCGGGGGCCACGGGGGCCACCCACAGGGGCCTCCCATGGAGCCTCCCACGGGGGCCACCCACAGGGGCCCTTTGCGTTCCAAGTCTGCATTCTTTTCAATCGATCGGGCAGCCACTAATTCCAACCTGCTCATTTGTACATGTATGTGTATATATGAGCTATTTTGCTGTCTTGCTCCCATCACCCCCATCAACCCCATCACATCACATCACCCCCATCACCCCCATCGCCCCCATCACCCCCATCACCCCGCATCACCCCCATCACCCCCATCACCCCCCATCACCCCCGTCACATCACATCACCCCCATCACCCCCATCACCCCCATCACCCCCATCACCCCCATCACATCACATCACCCCCATCACCCCCATCACCCCCATCACCCCCATCACCCCCATCACCCCCAACACCCCCATCACCCCCATCACCCCCATCACCCCCATCACATCACATCACCCCCATCACCCCCATCACCCCCATCACCCCCATCACCCCCATCACCCCCATCACCCCCCATCACATCACATCACCCCCATCACCCCCATCACCCCCATCACCCCCATCACATCACATCACCCCCATCACCCCCATCACCCCCATCACCCCCCATCACCCCCATCACATCACATCACCCCCATCACCCCCATCGCCCCCATCACCCCCATCACCCCGCATCACCCCCATCACCCCCATCACCCCCCATCACCCCCGTCACATCACATCACCCCCATCACCCCCATCACCCCCATCACCCCCCATCACCCCCATCACCCCCATCACCCCCATCACCCCCATCACCCCCATCACCCCCATCACCCCCATCACCCCAGCCATGGCGCGCACCACCACGTGGCCCGACATCTGTGCCCTTCGCTCCCTTCCCAACCATTCTCCTTTCCCCGTCTCCACATTCTCCCCATTCCCCCAATTCCCGTGCCCTTTTCTTAATCTACACCCATTCCCATCTCCCCCGTCCGCCCATTTCCCCCCTCCCCCTCCACCCATCAGATACCAAATGTTAGATTTCCGAGTGCCAGCCTCATGGGGGCTGCGAATCACGCCAGCCATGGCGCGCACCACCACATGGCCTGACATCTGTGCGCTGCGCTCCCTGCCCAACCGCCGCACGCTCTTCCTCACGCTCTGCGACCTCTCGCTGCCGCTCGTGCAAGAGACTCTCGCAGCACTGCCTGAGAGGCAAACATGTGATGTGAGTGTGTGCGGGGCTGCGGGTGAGTGAGCGGGACTGCTTTATAAGTCGTTAGGGCTGACTGGTTTCTCTTCCTCACGCTCTGCGACCTCTCCCTGTCTCTTGTGCAGCCCACGTCGGGGTTCTTCCACAAGCAGACTCTAGCGCGCATGCGAGACGCAGTGCGCCTGGCGTTCTACCGCCTGCTGCCCAACCGCCACGAGCTCTCGCTCTTCTACCCGCGCGTGCGCAACACGCGCGGCTACTCCGTGCGCAAACCCGTCAAGCTGCCCCCCGGAGAGCTCAGCCTGCCCGAAGAAGACGCGTACCTGACCGGGGAGAGGAAAGGAAGCGTCTGGAGGAAGCCGGAGAGTGGGGGGTTGGGTGGAGGGGAGGGAGGGGGGAAGGGAGGAAGGGAGGGAGGGGGAAAGGGAGGTGGGGAAGGGGGGGGAGGAGGGGAGGGGAAGGGAGTGGGGAACGTGAGTGGGGGGGGAGAGGAAGGGCGTGCGGGAGGGGAACTGGGAGGCGAGGAGGAAACGGGAGAGGGTTTGGTAGGGCGATGGGAGTCAGGTGGGGGGGAGGTAGGTGGGGAGGAGGATGCAGGAGATGGGGGTAGGCATGGTGGTGTGGGATGGGGGGCTGGGGGTGATAGCTTGGGAAGCAAAGGCTATGGAGAGGGGGGTGCAGAAGGGGGAGTGGAGAGGGAGAACCGAGGAGATGGGGAAGGAGGGAGGGAGGGTGTGGAAGGGGTGGGGCGGGGTGGGGATGTGCATGAGTGGGTGGAGCGAGAGGAGGAGATGCAGGAGGAGGATACAGAAGGGGGGCCTCTTTTGGCAATGTATGGGGGGGATGTGGGGGAGGAGGATAGGGGGGAGGAGGGAGAGGAGGGCAGGGAGGACGGGAGAAAGGAGGATAGGGAGGAGGATAGAGAGGACGGTAGAGAGGGAGAGGAAAGGGGGGGTTTGTTTGTGGATGATGGTGAAGGAGAGGGTGCCACAATGGGGGACGATGTGTGGGCAATGGGTGAGGAGGAAGGAGGGGATGGAGAGGGACGAGGGAGAGGAGGTGGGCAAGCAGGGGAAGGAGAGGAAAGAGGGGAAGAGGAGGACGAGGAGGACGAGGAGAATGAGATGGTGATGGGGGAAGAGGAGGAGGATGGGGAGTACAGTGGAAGGCAAGCAGATGAGACCACCCAAACAGAGGAAAGAGGTGAAGGGCACTTGCATTTGCACTCGCACACGGACACACACACACACATGCACACGCATGGGAATTACCTTCATACGCTACTGGGGCACCTGTCGCCACTCACTGCTGATGCAGACTTCACCGCACCTCACCCATCACAACCGTCACTCGCAGAGCCTACAGGTACCCTAGGGCAAATAATAGCTGGTGCTGCGCTTCAGGGAGCGTTGGGGGCATTGGGGGGGCTGGGTGGGTTGGGGGGATTGCAGGAAGATGGGACGCAGGAGGACGGTGGTGGACAGGAGGACACGGGTATGTTCGCATTCTATGGGGACGAGGAGGATGAGGACGAAGATGAGTGAGTGTGAGCCATTTCCGACTACCCAAGATCTTGGGAGGGAGTTCGTATAATAACAATCATGATGGAAGAAATGGATATGGTATTTTTTATCCGTATAGCACAGAATAATTTGAGTTTGAAAGCTGTATATCGCAAGCTCACTGTCTTGCTGAATGCGCTCTTTAAAGTGGTGGTCATAATGAAGTGTGACCTGGTTTCATAGGGTATTTTTCATGTAATACTGATCAACTGTAACACTCATGTAATGCCGGGGTTCTTATAATGCTGATGCCGTACATACGGCACATGCCTTTATCGCGTTTCTTTCCAGCACGACACGAGCTTCCTGCCGTTCAGAATCTGACATGCAACGAATAGATATTTACAGAAACTTTCTGAAACGCGCAACCCGCGCGCGAGCCTTTTCATTTCTTTATTTGTCCAGGTTATGCGTGCCACGCTTTTAGGCGCTGAGGTAGTAAACTAGCCGTCCATTACACGCCGTAGTATGCACGAGGGTCGAGGTGGCTACCGTGTTTCTCGCTGCTCGTTCAGGTTTTCGCACTTAGTAGAAGCTTCGAGTTTGCGCTGCCGTTCCTTGCGACGTTGGCCGTGCGGGCGTCCGCCTGAGGGGTCGGATCGCGATAATCTCTAGGATCTCGCCATATAGAAGAACCGATCTCTGAGAAAAATCTTTGCGGTGGTGAAAAAAAAAAGGGAGAAGAAAAAAAAGAAGACGAATAGGAGAAATCCACTTGGATACTCGATTCCTCGACTTGTCGAATTTAGAAATCCTCGAATCCGCGTCTCCTCGTAAATTCAAATTCTCCGTCCGTATTCATCAACACTCGCATCCTCGTGTCGGTCTGTAACAACGAGCCGGCAGGAGGATCGGCAAATTGATTGTATTGGAGAGGAGAACAGGTGGGGAGCAGCAGGCATGGGGCAGCAGCACGACTACCAGTACAAGCACTTTAAAGCCACGGTGCCGGAGCGCCAGATCTCCGTCGGTGTCGGAAACCAGCTGCGGTACGCTCCTCGCTGCTGCCGCCGCTACCGCCTGCCGTTGCCGCTGCCGCCGCCGTTGCACTTTGCACTTGCCGTTGCCGTTGGCGTTGCCGTCGCCGTTGCCGTTGCCGTCTCCGCCGTTGTCGCTGCTGTCTCTCCATTCTTACATCAAGCACGGAGAGGATCAAGAGAAGCTGTCAGAGCTAGCATAGGACGCGTTTATGCGCCGATGCGTCCCTGCGTTGATCCTGCAGGGTGTTTTTGAGAATTCTCAAAAACACTCTGTGAAGCACGCAGAGGGGAGCTAACGTTTGTTTTTCTGGAATGCCAGCTCAAGAGCCAGCGTCGAATGCGTCTACGCGCCAGTGTGTCCCTGCTTGGGGCATGTGTTGTCACTGGCGATCTGTATCTGGTGTGCCACGTCACAGCGCCCATCCAGTTTCATGCGCCTTATACAGCCCTCCCCGCTCTCCTTATTCGTCATGCCACCCGCTCTCTTTGTTTCCTAACCGCCCCTCTCCCTTTTTTTCTCCGCCCCCGCACTTTCTTGTCCGCCTCTCTCCCATCCCTTCCCCCTTTCCCTCCTCTCCCCCCTCCCCGCCTCTTTCTGCTTTCCCCGCCCGTTTCCCCCTTCCCCGCCCCTCTCCGCCTCCCCGCATCTCTCCCCTCGGCCTCCCCGCAGCTGGCGCTACTACGACTTCGGCCCCAAGGCGATCCCGCCGCTACTGTGTCTGGGTGGCGTGGCGGCGACCGCGGACGCCTTCCACAAGCAGGTGCTCGCGCTCGCCGCCAAGGGCTTCCGCGTGATCGCCGCGGACCCCCCGCCCGTGTGGTCGCACCAGCAGTGGATTAAAGCCGTCGACCAATTTCTAGACGCGCTCCGGGTGCACCAGGTAGGCGCGACGCCTGGGGGGGGAAGGCGGGCGGGGAGAGGGTGAGAAGGGGGGGAAGCGTGGGGGTGGGAGATAGGGCTGCGGTGACGGATGGGGAGGGGAAGGGAGGGGAGGGGTGGGATGGGGAAGGGGAGGGGAGGGGAGGGAATGGCTTGGTTAAAGGGACCAGGGGAGGTGGGGAAGGGAAGGGGAGGGATTGGGGTGGGAAAAGGAAGCAATGGAGGACGGATTACACGGGGTGGATGTTTGTATTCTGTATTCTGATCTGCTGCGTTCCCTTCAGTGCGTGATTTGTTTCTGTTTATGCGTCCTTGCACCTCTCCTCCACTCTTGCTCTGCCGCCAGTTCCCCCTCCCCCTTCCCTCCCCTTTCCCTCCCCCCCCCCCCCCTTCCCCTTCCCCCCCCCGTTATTCTCTTATTCACCTCCCTTTCCCCCCCAGGTGCATCTATATGGCACGTCACTGGGCGGGTTTCTGTTCCAGCTGTACGCGCAGCAGCGGCCGCGGCGGGTGCTATCACTCGTGCTCTCCAACTCGTTCTTCGACACGCACTTCTTCAACGTTGCCTTCGGCTCCTGGTCCTCCATGTATGTGTGCTCGCCTGTATGCATGCTTGCATGTACGTGTGTATGTCCCTGTCCCTGTGTGCGTGTGCCCATGTGTGCTCGTGCTCTCCAACTCGTTCTTTGACACGCACTTCTTTCAACGTTGCCTTTGGTTCTTGGTCCTCCATGTATGTGCGTATGCCTACATACACGAATGCACGTCTGTATGTACGGTATACATGTGTTGTTGCCTGTTCTCCAACTCATTCTTCAACACACACTTTTGTTATGTTGCCTTTGGCTCCTGGTCCTCCATGTATGTGCGCGTGTTTGTATGCATGCATGTCTGCCTGCATGCGCCATTGTACCCATGCACGTGTGTATGCAAGTACCCTTGTATGCGTGTATACATCTCCTTGCCTCCCTCTGTGCCTCTCTCCCTGTCTCTTTCCCTGCCTCTCTCCCTGCCGTCCCATGTCCCCGCCTGCCTACCCCTCCCTCCCTCGCTCCCTCTCTTCCCCAGGTTCCCCTACTCGCCCGATTTCGTGCTGAAGCGTCTGGTGCTCTCAGGCCTGAGGGACGGCCCGCACGAGCCACTGATAGCGGACTCTATCGACTTTGTTGTCTCGCGCCTGGATTCTCTCTCTCGCTCTGAGCTCGCTTCGCGCCTCACTCTCAACACGCTGCCCGCTGTGCTGCCGCTGCTGCAGCAGATGCCGGAGCAGAGCATGACTCTCATGGACTGCAATGACTTTGCTGCTGTCGCCTGTGAGGCGGGGGAGGGGCGTGGGATGGGTGGGGTTGAAGGGGGTGGTTTGCTTGGGTGGGTGCAGGAATGGTGTCGGTGTGCGTTGGGATGTGTGGGGTTGGTTTGTATGTGCTGTTTGAGATTATTCCTTGGGAATGCTGCTGCCTCGGCAAGCATCGTACACCTGCCCTCTCCTGGCTATGTGCACCTCTTTCAACCGCCTTTAACCTCCCCCCCATATCCCTCCACACCCCTCCACACCCCTCCACACCCCTCCACGCCCCTCCACACCTCTCCCGATCCGTCCCCATCCCTTCAAACGCCACCCCTCAGGGCAACTGCGGGACGCGCTGTACACGCGCTACCCCAACGCCACGCGTGCCTTCCTCAAGAGCGGCGGCGACTTTCCCTTCCTCTCGCGAGCCGATGAGGTGAACCTGCACCTCTTCCTGCACCTGCGCCGAGTGGACGCTGAGAGAGAGCCTGGGCATACCGACATTCTCGCCCCTACTCTTCCTGCTGCGGTTCCTGCGTCTTCTGCCGCTGCTTCTGCCGCTTCTGCGGCTTCTGTGGCTTCTGCTGTCGCTTCTACTGCTGGTGATGCTTCTTCCGGTCTTGCTGATTCGCACGCTCATGCGCTCGCTGCTCCTGCGGGTTCTTCTGCTGGGGCTGTTGATTCTGCAGCGTCTTCTTTCACCTCTGCTGCTTCTGTCTTCTCCTCGTCCATCCCTTCGGTTCCGCACGACTTGCCCTCCTCCTCCTCCTCCTCTCTGCCTCTCTCCACGCCTGCACTCGTGGAACACCATGCCTCGCCGCTAGCTTCGGCCAATCCTTTCGATCCTCTTTCACCTCCGCTCGATCCTCTTGGCCTGGCTTGGCAAGGCTCGCCGCTGCAGCCACCACCACCTTTGGTGCCGGTACCAGAAATAGGAGAGCCAGTGCCTGGTGTCACCGCATCTACTGCTGCTTCTGTGGCTGCTGCAACTGCTCTCACGGCAGCAGCTGCTCTGCTGACGGAACCACCAGCAGCAGCAGATGCTGCAGCAGGGGCTGGGGAAACCAGTGCTTTACCAGCAGTTGGTCGTGACGCACTTGTGGGTTCCCTTTCCCCTTCTACATCCCTTCATTCGATTGAGGCTCTTCCAGGTACAGGCATTGGAGCAGGATTGGGAGGGGGAGGCGTAGGGGAGGCAGTGAGAGGGGTGAGTGGCAGTAGCAGTGATGTAACTGCAGGGGAGGATGATGGGGAGGAGGCAACCAGTGCTGCAGCACAGGCACTGGAAGGGACGGAAGGGGAGGTGCTTTCCAGGGAAGGTACCACTGGGGGTCCCCTTGCAGGGGGGGCAGAGGAGAGGGGCGTGAGGGAGGAGGAGGCGGGGGGAGAGGCGGGCCAGGGGAATGAGAGTGAGGAGGAGGAGGAAGAGGAGGAGTCAGATGCCGCGCAGTTTCGGAGCCAGGCGAGTAACTGGCTACGGTTTGTGGAACCGGAACATTACGGGGAGGAGGAGGAGGGGGGGAGCAGGGCAGAGGAAGAGGAGGGAGAAGAGAAGGGGGAGGGAGTGGAGGAGGTGTCGGAAGGTGTGGAGCGGTTAGCAGTAGGGGACAGCCCGTTGGGTTGACAGGGATAGGTGGGAGTCGCATGCATGGCATGGGATGGCATAGTGCATGTGTATGGGCATAGTGGCATCATGAGTTGGTGGGATGGGATGGTAGGATGGTGCGATTGTGAGATAAATCCATGGCATGGGATGGCATGGCATGGCATGGCATGGCATGGCATGATAGCATGGGTGGTGTGGGTTTCCTGGGATTGCAGGGCACAGTGGTGGTATGCCATTGGTGTGTATGCGTGTGCGTCTGTGCAGTGCTTGAAAGTGAAAAGTGAGGGGCTAGCTGAAGGGGTGTGGAACGGAGCACGTTAGAAGGGAAGGTAGGTGCAGCATTCTATCTGTGGTTGATTGTGTGGTGATCATGGCATGGCTTTGCTATATTGTCATGGTCTGGCGAAGATAATGGTTGGATGGTATGGCATAGCCACATGGCATGGCATGAAGGCATGGTATATCATCGGCTGCTAGAATTTACAAGGGTTACTTACTGCTGCTCTCAGCTTGGGATAGACTTGTACAGTCCAATCCACAACACCCTAGGTTTCACTTTGTCCCAAATTGACTGATGTTGTAAATTCCCTGTGATAAGTACAATCGGCTGCACCAAGGAAGTCCTATAGATGTCAGGAAACCCAACGACTTAGCACTATTGGCAGCATGCTAGGGTCCTAACCCAAGAGCAAGATGCTACACGCAGAGAGAAAGTACAAAGACTAATGTTAATTAATTTGGCACCTATACTGTACAGGGGGGACTGTGTTCGTCCCTAGAAGCCCGCGTTCCGGCAAGCGCTTGGCCTCTCTTCTTCGACCTCCGCTTTCCGCTCACCACCCCCGTCACCTCCCCCGCCCCCTCCCGCTCACCACCTGCGCCACCTCCGCCGCCCTTCCCCGCTCCGCGCTCCCCCGTTTCACAGCTCGCGCGCTAGCAGCGTGCGCGTATTGCGGCGGCCTATCCTCGGCTCTAGCAGCGACTGTACGAGTCGCTCCAGAAACAGCAGCGTGGGTCGCAGCCTCAACACCACGGCCGCTGCCTGCCCGCAGAATCCGGCCGCGAAGGACATGAGCATCGGGTCCATACGCGGGAATTAAGTAGCTAGCTGGATGAGCAGCGCTTTGCCAGGAGAATTATGAGCAGGGAGGACGCGACACGGAGGGGTGGAGGAGGGGCGGAACGCTAGGTGGAATAAGCTGTGATGAGGGAACATCCAAGCAGGTGTAGTACATGGTACCGAGGATGGTGAATTAGATTGTAAATGTTATGGATGAACTTACTCTACAGTGTGCACGGAATAAAGGAATAACGAGCCTATGATCAACTGAATGTCGATAAAATGGGAGTGACAGTAAAGGGGAATCCTAGCAAGGGGGGGGACGTCGGTCAAATATGGTATCGAAGGATAGCGATTGGTACGGGGGCGATTTGGAGGTGGTTTGGGGCGATAATGTAGGCAGAGAGGCGAGTGGCGAATACGGCGAGGTGTATCACAAGTGGCGTCGATAAAATGACCTCTCGCTTTCAGAACATCTTATTGAGGGAAAAAATCGGTCTTTATTTTAAGCCATACTATAAGAAGTGTAGTGGTGAGGCCCGCCATATCAATGACCTGCCCAATTGGAAGGACAAATGTTCCTAAAAGCGCTTTTCATCGAAGCTTCTCCGGCTGGCCAGCTCAAAATGTCCAGTAAATAAGACAAGCCGTGGTTTGTCACATTAGGATGTTGCTAGAGTGGCAGCAACTGATCATGGCACATGTATCTACGGTGTCGTAAGCCAGAAAGCACTGTGTCACGAAATGAGGGGGATGAATCGGTGTGTTTCCTTTCGGCTAGACTGTACGTTCTTGGCTGGTGCCAAGATCGCTGACGGTGTCGAGCCACACACCTCTACAGTCGTGATCAAATCAGAGTCATCACATGGTGCAAGTACAGTAGGCCGAAACGATACAGTGGTGTGAGCGCGTTGCAGAATTGTGAGAAGCATTGGCCTTGTTCTGTAGGCGGACAATTTCCAACATCTGGTTTCGCACAGTTAAGATTGATAACTGATCAACTGCTTATCTAGGTTTGGCGATAAGCGCACGGATGCCAAACCTACATGCGCCAAATTTGACGCTTCTGCCTGCAGAACACCACTTTTGACCCGCACAAATTTAACCGTGTGCTGGCTCGAAGCAATTGCTTCGCCTGGCAAATGGTCGCACAACTAGTGCGGGGCTGATTCAACCTCCAGGGCAAGCATCAGCCAGCGCACAAGTTCTGCGGGGCTTTGGATTGCGGGAATGCATTTGGAATGCGGGGCTTCGTAGCAACATCGAGGGTGACAATTTTGATTGGATGCGACACGAATCTTCAAGGAAGGACTGTCCCGGACATTTTGTGCGGAGGCCAGTCCGCCTACAGAACAAGGCCATTTGTGTGAAAATTGTGGGAGAAATAACAGCTGGTACAGTCGATGCTCAGCCTATCACAAAACATTTGCTCCTCACAATTAGAAATTTAGTCACTCGCGAACGTTTTGACCGTGAGTGACTAAATTGACCATTGTGCCGATTTCGGGGTACAGTCACCAAGTTGAGGAAGAAAAACATCTACAGTACATAAACAACAACGGTTGCCCGTCATCAAAGAAGTTAACCTTGTTACAAAATTAAAGCCCTTGACTCGATTCACGTTGCAATTTCATGTTACTGTCACATTTTTGCCCGTGGCGACAAGGGCGAACGTGGCGAAAAGCCCAAAACACGTTTCACGCACATGCCGCCCGCCTACCTGGTGTTCTTGAAATGGGCACCGACTGTACAATGATATCCACCCAGTCCGAATCACTAATCTTGTTGCGGTTGATTTTCGTTGCCTGGTGCTCAATGAAAACGAAGCAGCTGTTGAGTCGGGGGGTTGAAACGAAACGGACATCGACAAACACGCCTTGGGCGGAGCGGAGTGATCGAATCGAACCGACCACGAGTCCAGCAGGGAACAACGGAACGGAACAGATTTTTTCTTCAGGCTGGGTAGCCTGCGCCGTACAGTCGGTGCCCATTTCAAGAGCACCAGGTAGGCGGGCGGCATGTGCGTGAAACGTGTTGGAGGATTTTCGCCACATTCGCCCTTGTCGCCACGTGCAAAAATGTGACAGTAATATGAATTTGCAACGTGAATCCAATCAAGGGCTTTAATTTCGTAACCAGGTTAACTTCTCTTATGACGGGCAATTGTTGCTGTTTATGTACTGTACATGTTTTTCTTCCTCAACTTGGTGACTGTACCCCGAAATCGGCACAATGGTCAATTTAGTCACTCACGGGCAAAACGTTCGCGAGTGACTAAATTTCTAATTACGAGGAGCAAATGTTGGCGCTGTTCTGTAGGCGTTAATGCTTCCGCATGAAATGTACGGGCAAGTCCTTCCAAGTAGTTTCTCGCCGCATCCAAATCCCGCATTTCTCAATTTGATGGACCGATGTTGCCACGAAGTCTCGCCAAATCTCTCAACCCCTCAAATTGCTGCCCCGCACAACTTAGGGCGTATTACATTTTCCAAAGTCGCTGAAAGTCTGGATGGCTGTCCGGGCGCGTGCGAAGATTGCGACGTCGCAAGGTCGTGTTGCGACCAACGCGATGTCGTAAGGAGGCAGAACGAAGAACGCGACGTCGTTTAGACCCTAACGAGTTTCGTAACCACACAACCGTCCGGACGGCTGGCCGTCCGGACAAAAAAATGAAAAATGTAACACGCCCTTATGCGCTAGCTGATTCTAGCTTTCGAGGTTGAATTGGGAGCGCACAAGTTGTGCGGATATTTGCCTGGCGATGCTACATCCTGGAGCCTTCACTCCGTTAAATTCGTGCGCCCCAAAAGTTGTGTTCTGCAGGCAGCATCGTCAAATTTGGCGCAAACAGGTTTGGCGGGACCTCTCGTATCACCAAACCTTGATAGGCAGAAGCTTACTTATCAACGAAAATTCCGCGGACCCAGTTTTTAGAAATTTAACGCCTACAGAACAGCGCCGTTCTGTGATAGGTTGAGCATCGACTGTACATGCACACTTCAAACACATGCACAGCTCATATCACTGTTCAAAGCGGTGAAGCTATCAACCGTTCTAGAAAAGCCCAACATCGTAGTCAACCGATATCATTGAAGAAAGTGTGACCTGCCCCAAGCACAGTAATGTACTGTAATGTACTGTATTGCATGCGCCGAGAAACTTCCAAAGCTGCGATCTAACGTGACAGTACACCACCGGTACATAACAGAAAACGTAAAGACATACAAGACAGAGGAGGACAGATACACTGTATAATGTTCCTTCCTCGATAAGGATGGGCGGTCAGTTCGGTTCGGTTTCCCCATCGTGGGCACACTCCTGTGTTCCGCACTAGTTGTATGCAGCCTGCTGAGCAAGCACTCAACAAACAACAGCAGCACCATTGACTTTAACCAAGATGGGATCTAGAACCTGAAAATAGTATGTTCAAAAGCGCTTTGTGTCTGTTAGGAGTAAACCACACCAATTTAAGTCCGAAGAGTCTGATTTCTGCTGTGACCGAGGCGCTACTACTACTACTAGTAGTAGGAACTTCTAACTTTGACAAAATCATTAGTATAGTAGGAAAAAAGCCGCTTTTGAAACAAAAATTGCGTGCGGCACGCATGCCACTGCCACCTGCCTCCTAAGGGCTTCATATCTGCAGCACGTCTGCAGAAAATCCACAAAGGCTCTGATTTTCAACGTCTCCGAGTCGGACTCCGATATTTAATCTGCTCAGTTACAAAGTAGAGCACAGTTACATACGCGCTTCTGCTCAGCAGTGACTGCTACAAACTAAGTAACACGTGACCTGGCCAATACACCAACCTAGGAAGCTCAAACCACCATCTGAATAGTATTAGCATGTCCACTGCGAGTGGCATTACTACGGGAACTGGTTTTGACAAGAGTGGTAGCTGTCAAACTTATATGATCTAGCCTGTGTAGGCTGTAGCGGGTTAGATACTAAGGGGTA